TTTGTAGATCCTTTGGCAGCTCCAGAATTCGGAAATTCTTTTTGACATAATCGAAAGTTCAAGCTTACTTTTTATAAAATTGCTCTAACAGTCTGCAAAAAAAATAATAAGCCGATCCAATTCGAAGATTAAGGAACAACGCAATCTGCAACATTAACTGAAAAAGATAATTAGATAACTTTAGCTTAGCTTATACCGTTCGTTATACATTAAATGCGCATACGTAAAGGTATTATGCCTTTACGCATGCGCAGAAAGTTTGTTGCTTTAAGATCTGGATAATAGATCATTCCGGAATATGGATGTCTGAATCAAAGACTTTTGATTGCAATTCTTATAAAATCTGTTTCTGATTAATGTTGTAATTTTTCCTTTGTTCAAAGCAATGATTCTTCAAGGAGTTCTGTAATTAAATAATTGTATTTTTATTCATTGTTAGTTACAACTGAAAATAAACTTTCAGTTGCTGTTGATGAATAAGGAAAATGCAATACAGCTTTAACTATTGTTTAATTCCGAAAGTATTTGTTCTCCACAGTTTTTTCAGTTCAATATATTGTAGAGTCATTAGGTTAATTGGAAGCAGAAAAGATAAAAAATATGCAACCACCTTCGCCGGGAATCGAACCACGGACCTCTGAAATACCGGCTCAATGTGCAGAACCACTACACCACGAAGGCAAGCTAGGGAAGTGGGAGAAATACCTTATATACTCCCTTTTTTAAAGGGCCGACTAGGGTTTTAGGAGACCTAGTCGCCAAATCCTGGGTGCGGAGAATCATCATCCACAACCCTTTTAGTTCGGGCGCCACTTGTAGAGTCATTAGGTTAATTGGAAGCAGAAAAGATGAAAAATATGCAACCGCCTTCGCCGGGAATCGAACCACGGACCTCTGAAATACCGGCTCAGTGTGCAGAACCACTACACCACGAAGGCACGCTAGGGAAGTGGGAGAAATACCTTATAATATTTATTCCCAAATCTATGAATTTTTTACCTTTTTACTACGGACAAAATAAGTTTCGCATCCGAACTATATACGATACTAATATTGCCTCCGCCCCCCACACAGTTTAAGGCAACTCATTACCATCAATAAAAAATTTGTTGAGTTAAAAACAGAGCAGTGATGATTTGGGTATGATGCAAAGTAAATCTTTAACGATTAGAATGATCTAGATTGCGGCAAAGCATTCAAGTGTTATCTGCCTAAAGAGAGACAGACCCTTGTGGAGAATTTCCTACAGGGAAACTGCCTCATTTTTGCCTTAAACATGAGAAAAACCACGAAAACTTCCATCCAGCCAGCCCATTTGCCATCGAACTACCAGTGTATAGTAGTGTTTCTACCGCTCACCCGCTGTAGGTAGCGCAAATTTAGAAACTGACATGATAAAAGATACTTTTAATATTACTTTAAAATACTTTTAAGATTTGTAGGTTTTTTTTTTTTTTTTTCTAACAGGAAGGTAAAATCCTGCAGACCCTACTAGACAAATACCGAATTATAACTATGTCTTAAACAATTCACAAAATAGGGAAGAAGGTTAAAATAACCTTTTTTTATTTAGGCTTAATGTAACAGAACAGGCATAACTTGAATGCAGCCGAAACTTTTACCACCTGTGGATATTTAAATTAATATAATACACAATTAAATTCAAACGCTGATAATGTAGTCTAAGACTACACATTAAATAAACTCATTTCCGATAAGCTGACTCGGATGTTTTACCAGTGCATATTCAACACATCGGGAGCGAGAATGCTAAAGCAGGAATGTAACTTTTAAGTAAATACTAACATGAAAATGTGATTGCCAAAAGTTCTAATCTAAAGAAACAAAAGCCCCGGCCTAATTTGCATTCTAGTGGAAGCAGAAGAGAAAAGTGGATAAGGAAAGCAGAAGTTATCATAATAACTAGTTAATTAACATAAGATAGATTACAGATTGACACACGAAATAAGAAACATAATAAAATCTCTGACTATCAGTATACAGATGATACGATTTCGTTTCAGACTTCAGAACATTATCCATACGATGTATTAAAATATTTTTGTCGACAAATTGATTGATGCATTTCCACATGATGCCGCATACTATCTATTCACATAACTTAACCTGCTGTCATATCTTTTAGGAGAAAATGTTTTCAGAAGTAACAGTGATAACACATTACTTGCAATCAGCAATGCCCGAAGTTTACTGACATACGAATAGTGACATACAGTTTACGAATAGTTTATTGACAGAGGCGGCCAGAGCTATCAGAAATTTTGGAAATTCTAGAAATTTCTCGAGGAGCTGGAGACAACCATAACTGCAGGATCAACGCAACAAAAAACAATAAACTCATTGAAAAAAAAAAAAAAAAGATTTAGTGACACAAAAAGTAAATACGTAAGAATAAAATAAATAAAAAATTCGATAGATAAACTAATGGTAGGCGTATTAAACTCATCATGTTAACCCCATCGTCATAAATTCATAACTGATGGAGCAAGTTCTTTACGTCATAGCGTGAAATAAGGGAATTTTTACATCCCACAACCCCGACGATTTTATATAACTATGCCGCCACCTTTATGCAAATCTACGACTATTCGATTATATCTTCGCCTGGTTATCCCAGCAACTTGATCAAGGCTGCATTTTTCATGATATAAACCTAACTCCAAAAAGGTGCCGATTGCTTTTTCCGTCAAACAGATTGCTTTTTAGAATAGAAGAGAAACACCGCAATGTGACAATCAAAATCGCAATAACAACCTGATACTTAGCGTACATACAGGGGTTGGACAAAAATATGGAAACACCTTTAAAAAAAAACATGTTTCTTTGCTTAATATGGTGTAGGAAACCCGTTGGCATCCAAAACAGCTTGCAGTCTTCTCGGAATGGATAAATACAGTTCCTGTATGTTTGCCAAGGGAATATTATACCATTCTTCCTGCAAAATGGTGGCAAGTTCAGATAACGATGTTGGCGGTGGATAACGAGAACGCACTTTCCGTTCCAATGTAGACCACAAAGGTTCGATAATATTCAACTCTGGTGACTGTGGTGGCCAGGGGAGATGGGACAACTCATCCTCGTACTCAGAAAACCAGTCCTGGACAATGTGAGCTGTGTGAACAGGGGCTTTGTCGTCTTGGAAGACACCATCACCATCGGGGAACAAAGTTTGCACCATGGGATGACCTTGATCGGCCAAAATGTTCACGTAAGTCTTGGCAGTCATGTGCCCTGACACAGTTATCATGGGGCTAGCAGAGAACTACGATATGGCTGTCCAAACCATAACAGAACCCCCGCCATGTTTCACTCTTGGCAACAAGCAGTCTGTATTATAGGCTTGAGATGGCGTTCTCCAGACGTAAACTCGGCCAGAAGTGGGAAACAATGTGAAAGAAGACTCGTCAGACCTCTCTATAGTCTCTCTATAGTGCTCTATAGTCCAGGCTTTATGACTTAAACACCACCTTTTCCTGTTACGGGCATTAGCATCACTGATGAGCGGCTTCTCAATTGCAGCACAGCCAGCAATTCCCTGTTTATGAAGCTCCCTTCTAATTGCTTTGGTACTCACAGTGTTCGGTAACACAACATTCATTTCAGCAGTAACTTTTGCAGCTGTGGTCTTATTTTTCATCACAATTGCCCTTAATGATCGTCTGTCACGATCACTCAGGACACACTTTCGTCCGCGCTGTGATTTAGCAGATGATGTTTTTTTCCGCTTTTCAAATATGCGGAATAAATCTTCGATACAGTACCTCTTGAAACACTAAACACCTCGGCTACCTTGCTTAAGGAAGCACCTACCATACGTGCTCCAACAATTTGCCCACGTTCGAAGTCTGTTAACTCTGACATAATGCAATGACAACCTCACATAACAGTACTCCGACAACAACTGAACTGTTTAGCACATTTACGAAGTTGTATAGGTGGCGTCAGTAGTCAAAAACACCAGCGCCACCTACATATTTCATTAAAATCAATCTTTCTTTTCAAACATGCATTTCACAAGGTGTTTCCATATTTTTGTCCATCCACTGTATATTATTAAAACACTCAATCGATTTCGAGAGTAGCTAAAGGTCCCTCCTCATCCTTCGAGGTTCAGACTTGGTGCGTGAAGGTGCAGTTGCCCCTCGCTCCTTATTTTTTCACTTCGCTGATTTTTTTTTCTTTTTTTTTTCGTTTTTATAGTCTTTGTGTTATATGTTCGATCAGATAGCCTGGCTCAGTAAAAGTAGGTGGCCAGTGCAAATCTGATTCAAAATCCGGTTATGACCACGTGCAGTGCTGATAATGACCACGTGTTTCTCCTTTGCCGGTGCTTTATTTTTCTTCTTTTTTGCCCTTTCTAGTAATTTCGTTCTCCTGATGAGGAGGGACCTTTAGCTGCCCTCGAAATCGATTGTTTTAATATATGTATGCTAATGCGATTTAGATTGCTTTTTATTTAATTTATCAACATATATGAGTTACGGGCACAGCATATAAAAACTTAAATAGCTTGTCATAATTTGTTATGTTACACAGCCTGTGTTTATCCATTTTCAACGAAGTCGCACTATTCTTCCCCCTGTGGTAAATTTGAAAGTATTCTGCAGCATGCTATTCAGTTGAAGACAAATAGTAAATTTTACTCATTTTTTCGAACTGCGATTGGGAAACAGATAAACGGCTGTTAACCTATTTCGTTTTTTACAAACATTAAACCGACTTATCCAAAACAAATCGGAGTTACCTAAAGTGTTATGCCATGTTTATTCATTATTGGCGCTAAATTGCACTGTTTGGTAACAGCTTTTGTTTGCTTAGAATCGTACTCGTGCTTTATAACGGAGTTACAAGTCCCTTATTTGTTTAACTTTACGTTATAAAAAAAGGTTTTAAAAGTCGAAAATGTTCCGGTTACTTGAGTTTTACGGTTAGATAAATGCCGGATAGTCGGGACTTTACAGTACTACAAAATATATTACCTGGTCAAAGAAGATCCAACACCAGAATCTCTCCTTTCATTGTTGATTATAATTATGTCACCATCATCTTGATTCTGGGGAGACTTACCTGCAATATAAAATAGCACATAAAAAATTTATCAAATTATGTTACCTACATGACCGACGTTCATTTTGAAGACAGAATTCTAACTAAAACCCAGAAAATTATTTTTGTAAATTTCATATTTTAGCCATAAATGTATAATAGTTTCAGTCTCTGCATAAGAAAAATGTCTCCTCTACAATTTTTTGACACAAAAGAGGCTTCATCATTGAGACGGGTATTTCGATTAATTAATAAATGAAGTTCATTTAAATTTAAGCGAGATTTAGATAACATATTCCTTAAAGACGACGTCAAAGGTCTAAAACTAGGCATATGGTTTCTGCAGAGTACTAGAGATGAGCAGAAAAGCCAATATTTTTATGAGAAACAAATTTGGAAAAGAAATCTTGGGAACTCCTGTATTTATAAATAAATAAATACATTTATAAATAAATACAGGGTGTACCGTAAATGTTGCGACAAACTTCTTGGGGAGGTAGGGCATATCATAAGGATTAAGAATTGCATAGGCACCTACAACCGGAAATGTCAGGGCAAGTGGTAGCAGAGGTAAAAGATGGGAAAGGAAACAAGAGCGTGATTAATTTTAAACATTTATTGGACATGAATACAAATGCTGTTTCGACAGCTTCAATATTACAACAGATGCTCGAAGTTTGCACCATCTGACGCCAAAAATGCCTGACACCGACGGACCACTGATTGCCGAACATGTTCAAACACCCCGAACACATGTCTTGCCACGAAATCCATTACAGACACAACAGGATCGTGATACACGACGCTTATGATGGCTCCTCACAAAAAGAAATCAAGGCTCAATAAATTCGGCGTGCGTGGGGGGCCAGGGAACCGGTCCACCACGCCCAATCCATCGATCTGGGAATGACCTGTCCAGATGGCTACGAACATCCAGTCCAAAATGAGTCCACTTCTGAATGACCCGTAGTCGCACAAATTCTGATGCAGACGTGGTGTGGTTGATGTCTGTCGGGGAGCCGTTCTCGATAAATGCGTGCAGCGGGTCGTCCATTACCCTCAGCTATTCCATACACTAAGTGCATTGTCTGCAAGCTCTCCGTTCGTATAGCGTTCCATGTTCTTCATACGGTGCCTACCACTCGAATGAAGCAATCCTCAGTTTCCACTAGCAGTCGCCTGTAGAGCAACCCCCGGCGGCGTACAGTGACGTTTCTGGGCATGGGTTCCTATGCAATTCTTAATCCTTATGATGTGTCCTACTTCCCCTAGAAGTTCCATTGGGAAGGTAGGGTCCAAATCAAGTTCACGCACAGTTATTTTATATTGGAATGAACTGTCCAAACTTCTACATTCTAGACAAGCTACAGACGTGGAAAAGTTACGATACTCAAAAATGAAATAAAATAAAAAACACATTAAAAAAAAACAGAATAAATAAAATCTGAAAGGTTTCAGATTTTAAATTACGTCCAAAGGGGCGTTTTTTTTACATTTTGTGCGTTATCTTTATTTATTAAATATCATCTTCGCACTTAAAACCATAAAATCCAGTTCAACAGCAATATCGCAAGATAATTTTAAAATGAACACATCTTTAGAATTTTCGATACAGGGTCTCGCGCGCTAGAGATAAAAATGTTTTTTTCCCGTACAGTGTTGCCATTTCTCGCTTTGAAATCGTTTAGTTTGTTAATCAAAAATTCGTTGAAGTGTTAAAAAACATGAAATCGATAATAAAACAAATTTCAAATTAGGGCTTCCACATAACCATATTTTATGGAAGATTAAGTAATTCAAATTTTGATGGCTCACCATATTCTATGGAAGATTAAGTTATTCAAATTTTGATGGCTCTACGTACCGTTGTTTTATCACAATGCGAGAAACATACATACATTCATGCAGATTCTTCAATTTCTTTAAAAGTAATATAGGGCGATTTGGTGGCAAAAATTTGAAAAGTGAAACAACGCTTATCGTGAATCGACGCAAAATGCCAAAACGAAGTGTTTCTGGGCAAATTGCCCCTTTGGACTAATAAACAGGATTATTATCAAGTCTACATCAAAAAATTATTTGAAAATAGATATTTGCATGTCGTACTTTTTAATTTAATATGCAATACTTATTTAATATTAGTTATTATATATTTTTTAATACTTGAAAGATATTATTCTAATTCAGTGATGTCTTGCAATCTATTTCTCACTATTTAAAATCTATTTTCTTTGCTTTTTATGTTTTATGCAAGATAACTGTATTAGAAATTGAAATAGTCTGTTTCATATATTCACCCCCTATGTTATTATCGCGACGAATTTTAAATTCTAGTTTCAACTACTAATTATTTATCTCTTATATTTATTTAATGAGTCCGAAAAAAAGATCTTGTACCTTGCAAAACTGCACCTGTTCAATTTCTCGAAAATGAAAATAAAAAGTATGCTAGACGACAAACTGATGAAAAATTTGGCATTCATCGAATAATCTTATTCATAAAGCATTATTCAAGAATGAGGATTACATCTGAACTCCGACAAAAAAATTTAATAGAAAAATTAGATCTGAGAACGCAAAGAAAATTGATGAAGATATGCTTACTGAACAGAGAGCCAACTTCATCAAATTCAAACGATGAATGATCTATCGGTTTGGAAATATCAGCTGGAATAGTAAGAAATATGTTATTTAACAACGAATTAAAAGCTTGTAGGCCCAAAGAAATGGGTGAAAGGAACGTGTTATGGCTAAAGCTACAAAACCGTATATTTCAGAAAAAGGTGAGTAAAGCATTCATTTTTTTTTATTATACTTAGATGAACTTATTTATTTTTAAGTAGAATCTTATTTTTGACATACCAGTATATTTTTTACTAAAAAAATAACAGAAATGAGATTAGTTATCTTTAAGAACATTTCGTGAATGAATCGACTTTCTCTATTACGACAGAAACATCAGGAAATATTTATAGACGATCAGAAGACATCTTAAAAGTAGAATGCATTCAATACACTGCAAAGCAATGAATGTCAATAGTACAATAAACATCAAAGATTAGGAAAATTACATTTTGTGAAAGGAACCTATCAGACTAGAATAATATAGCCCATGTTTTAAACTCGACTTCTATTTCAAATACGACACTAGTATTCAGAAAAGGGGGGGAATAAACGTCATTTCATGTATAAATAATGTACTTTCACATAAAGATAAAATTTCTTCTATTTCTTTAACTAAAAATAATGTAAAAGCATTGCCTTCACCGAGAAATATTTTGAGTCCACAGATTTTCATTTGAATATGAATCTGAACGATAATTTGTGGCCCATTGTTTTTAAAAAGAAAATTGAAACAAAATAAAGTAGCTATCAGAGTGGAGCCTATACCTAAAGCCTTATTCAAATATGGCTCCATGATACAGATATTAAAAAAAAAAAAAAAAAAAAAAAAAAAAAAAAAAAAAAAAAAACTGCTAAACATGTCAAAATGTTAAAAAAAAAATGGTTCTTTTGCAAAATAACCGTCAAATGGTTCTTTTGCAATATAATCGTCAGTATATTAAAATGTCTGTATAATAAGCTAAATTAAATAATTTTTCAGTATTTGTACCTCTAATAAAGTAAACAAGCTCAATCAAATATAAAATGGTTGCACTGCTTGCTGTGAAAAATTAAGGAGGATGTCAAATCTCGTTTCGCAAGCCTAGAGATAGAAAATCTGGCCTGTTACAAAGTTATTACAGGATCACCTGATTACTGTCAAAATACATCCAAAAATGTATTTAATGTGCAGTAATTACTAGTCATACGTCGACGATATACATCACACTGTAGAATGCATTGCTTTGACACCAAAATATGGCTATAAACGAAGTTCTGTCTAATCGAATTATATTTTTATTCGATATGGTGAATACCAAGCTTGTTTAGAATGCCCCGCTTTCATATTTTACAAGCAAGTTTTAAACTGTATACAGCACTCTTCGCATTCGTATTCGTATTCAGGACTGGGAGGGCAAAAACATGTCCCAAGGCAAGAGCCTCTAGAGCAGGGTTTCTCAAACTTTTTCAGTCGCGAGCCCCTTTTATGAGTGAGATTTTTTCGCGAGCCCCAGAACCCCATAATATTTACAAAAATTTTGTCGGCCTCCATAAGTATTGCGCAAATCTGACACACGCGTGAGTGAAACTGTCAATTTTTCACTTGTATTGTAATATACTCGTATTACAGTTTTAGGTCATTAACTTAAATTTTTAATTTTAATACATAGAACAATGTGAAAATTTTAAATATGTAACAGACGAAATGAAAGCGTCACGTGCAAAGCAAGGAAAATGAACGTTTATATTATAAAAATGCGTCGAAACGTTTTCGTTTTTTTTCTTTGTCTGCATTGTCTTATCTTTATATCTATTTTCAGATACACTGTGTAAAAATATTTGGTAATTGTAAAATTATTATAATCAGTTAAAGAAATCTCAAAATATACGTGGTAATAAAGATAAATATATGTGGTATTCATCACACAGGACAAAAATGTCGTCAAATGTAACAGAAATACGTCTGTTTTCATGCTTGTGTCAAAGCAATGCATTCTGTAATCGTCATATATCCGATGACATATAAATGGCAATTAATACGAATTAGTCCATTTCTGATAGTCGACTGATTGTAATTCGACGATGACGATATAGTCAAAATCTTGAGCTTTTCTTTCTTTTAGATATTACAACTCCCCCAATTTTCTGCTAAGAAATACTGCAACTGGTGTTCTTCAATTGAGCAGTTTTACTTTAGAGAAGAAAGACATAATATGTATAACCTGAAACCGTTCGTTGTGAAATAAAACGGGCACTTGTTTCAAAACATACGGACTATGAAATCTTTTATAGACGGCTTATTTACTTGGCGACTGAAAAATTTCACTGCGGAGGAAATAAATAAGTAATTATTAATACACGGTAGAATATTTCAATGTTTGCAGAAATGGTGGGAATCATTCATTTTCAGATTTCTATATTAAAAAAAAACTATAAAAATTACGAAATAAAAGTTTTAATTCGGCTCCCATACTTATATTTAGGAAAATTTTATACTCATTAAAATATAAAAGAAAAACAAGAAGTCTGATTCCGGGACTACAAAAATTGACCGAGATAACTAATTTCAAAAATTCACGTCATTTTCCACTTGCCTTGAGGGAACGATTAATAAATAAATTAGAATAGTTCGAGGTGGATTATTCATCTTAAATGCAATTTAACGATAAGTTTCCAAAGTTAAAAAGTTACTGATGTTTGATCACTTTAATCACACACATAATCTAATAATCACAGAAAAATTCCTTAAATTAGAAATATTTATAATTTATGCATATAACGTTATGAGTTGTCTACATGCCAGTACTGATGCCTGCCAGTGTTTTCTAGAGTACGAATTCTAGAAGAATTTTTTTCTACTTGGATATATATATCTTCTAAGACGAACAGTTCCGAAAATAAAAGCCCGGTATGGACTTTTGGGAACACAATGTATATGCCCATCAGAACTGCTACAGCATATAACATGATTCAGCATGACGTTATTACTAAGTTCTAAAGCCCATAGGAGTTACATATTTTGTACCACTGTAAGCATCGGCAACACTCAAGTTTAGTGATCATTGGCTTATGCGCGTCTAACGTGTTCCTCAAGTTTCCCCATAGAATTAAGTGCATTTATCTTTCAGCAAATACTACGATTACTGGCGTCTTTCCTAGATGTCAATTGAAATTTCGAACGAAACTTGACGGCTTCACCACATATCAAAAGCATCATCGGTTCCTCTCTGCCAATTTTTCCTAGCAGAGGGCTACCAATTTTTTTTTAGCAGAGGTCGGTGTTGGCATTTTATAACTTCCTTACGCCTCCATATCACCAGTAGACCATTCTTCCTTCTAAGGCTAGATACTTGCTTCATATCACTCACAGCTGCACGCGGCATTTAAAATGTGGCAAAAATCTCACGGAAGGAACGACCGAATAGGTGGGCACCAGTGATTACACTTTTTTCAATCTTACAAGCTGTCTTCTTATGTCCATTTGCAGCTGAAGCTAATATATATTTCTACCGAATGCTTAAGGTTTTTTACAAGCTCACTATAAGCATTAACATCGTAACAGCAATTTTCTTATATTTACCTTACAAGGGGTGTCAATAATACATTATATTATAATTTAGGTACAATACGAGTATAACCGATGGTGCAATAACAATTTATTAACCCTTAAACAGTCGCGTGGTACACCGATTATGAGATTCCTTTAACTCTAGAAAAGTTAAGTGCTACTTCTAATACACACAAAATGAAACTGCAATAAAAAGTTCTGCATCTTTCTTATGCACTGAAAAAATTGTAAGCTAAGATAAATAGTTTTAGGAAACATGGATGTGAAAAACTTAACAGCATAAATTTACACCATAAAACTTTTATAGCAATAATTCTGATCTTTAAACAAACATTTTTATACCGACCTACGTTCCTTAACTATTTCAGTGCAATAATTAGATGTAACTTTCTGGCATTTTGCATATGAAATGGTTGTACTGTTATTTAGTAAAACATTAGAAGTAACTGTTAGGAAACTGTACAGTTTGCTGGAGAAATTCGTCCCGCCGCACACAAGTTCTGAAAAGATTTACTTTTAGAAAACTCTGTTTTTATCTAACTGAGCTCACATGTATTCTCGAACGTGAAAAGCAGACTCAAAAAGTCACTTAGTCATGATGCTCACTGCCAGGATATGATGAAAAATTTGTCAGTCTTTTGCGACTAATGAAAGGTTAATTACATAGTACTATTTTATTACATTAAATAGTAATTTATTGCATTGTTAATTATTAAACAGTGTAGAAATTTATTTGTGTAACATATTTCGTAATGCTAATACTCAAAATTTATTAGAAAATTTATAACTGCTATTCATTATTAAAAGTTAAACTGACACATTTACAGGAAATTTATTAGCTTTAACACATTATGCATTACGAATGAGTCGTCTGTAGAACGCAGGTGGTTTTTCTTCTCTCAGAATTTTATAGTCATTTTAAAACTAATGTAAGAAAATATGGTTATGTACTCCAGCCTTTGTTATCATCGAACTATGGTTGATTGCTGATGCACAATGCACTGTTTGAAACGTAGTCAGAAGGGGTTGGAACTAGTTTGACCAGAGCGGGAAACTACACTGCTGACCATTAAAATTGCAACACCATGAAGGAAACCAAATAAAAAAAACGATATTTATTGTATGTAAATAGTATAGCACGAAGATAAAATGATTGAATTTGTAAGCAGCGTGGGGGTTTACAAGTTGCGAAATCAGTAGAAACAGCTACCACTACTGGTAGCAAAAACGGCTTTCCGGTTAATGCATGGAGTCGAACTGGGCTTCGATGACAGAAACGGGCAATTCATTCCATGCTGCTTCAAGTCTACGCCACACTTCATCAACCATATTAGCTGGAAAGGGATGGCGGGGCAGACTTTCAGCCACCCATGACCAGATGTTTTCAGTGGATGACAGATCTGGAGACCGTATAGGCCAGGACAACAAATGAATACCCTGTGTATTAGGTAGGTCAAAACACGACGTACAACATGTGATCTTGCATTATCTTGTTGGAAGATGGTGTTTGGCAGGCCTCGAATATAGGGCACCACCGCTGTACGTAAAATGCCAGAAATGTACCTATCTGCGTTCAAATTACGGTCGATCCAAACTAGAGATGTGCATGTCGTGTACCCAATGGCTGCCCAAGCCATCACACCAGGTGCAGAGTGTTCCTAGGCCGAGATCCAACGGAAGGATGCGAATTGCGGTCTCCTGGGAGCCTCCAGATATGTATACGGACATCATCAAGATACAGCACGCAGAACCGAGATTCGACTGAAAAGACGACATTGTACCATTCCTGTACCCAACTTTGTCGTTCGGCGCACCAGAGTCGCCATCTCTCGCTATGCTGCATTGTCCAAAAAAAAAAAAAAAGCCGAAGTGATGGACGGCGTGCTCATGGCCCACACTGCTGCAAACGTCGACGCACCGTACGACCTGATACTGGGCGTGCTGCAAACATGCCCATTTCCTGACTAATGGTCCGTGATATGGTTGTATGGTTTTGTAGGGCTGATCTCTCAATATGTCTGTCCTCTCAGGCGCATGGGGGGTCAGTATGACCCTCAGCAATCCACTGATTCCATAGTCGCATGACAGTGGTTGGATGGCAACCAGTGCGACGGGCGATATCACGGAATGATAATCCAGACTCCTGATAGGCAACGATGCTGCCTCTATCGGATTCCGACACTTGCTGATAAGCATTTTTTCTTATTATTCGAGGCATAATACGATCTTCAGAGCAAACTCTGACTTCGCAAACCGCTTTCCGAATGAGAAATCCACTACATGACTTTTCTTTTATGCAGTGCTTCAGATGTCATTTCTCCCTCCTGCGCTGTCTAAATGCGCTGAAATTCTAATCATTTGCATATCCCAACCTCTTTTTCCTTTCATGTCATTCTGACGTTCATCAGATCACTCCTTCGTGGTGTTGCAATTTTAATTGTCAGCAGTGTAATTCAGATTACTAAAATTTTAAAATTTGTTGCCGATGATAATTTTTTACAAAAATGGTAATTAAGTATTAAGTAGTGTTGACCATGGTTAGGACTGCTTGAATTTTGTAACATGCGTTGACAATTTATCGATCATCTTGGCACGTTTAAATAACAGGGAGGGGGGTACCATTAAGAAAGTACCATTATTATTTTATGCTGCATGAATCACGCAGTTATAATTTTTTACTCGTTTTGAAACCACTGATATCAGCGCACAATGGCACGTCAAGACCATCGGTGCCTCGCAATTTCCCGAATTCCCAAAGGCTCCATTCGCCCGTCTGTAGTAAGAAGGTACACGAATTTCGGAGTATTCTCGGTCATCTTGATCTTGCTTAGTACTATCTCCAAAGTTGGAAGAACATGCGACAATTTATAAATTTAAAGAGATTAAACAGCTGAAAGATATATTTTTGGATATATACATGCTGAATGGGCTTTCGTGCAAGACTTTCCGCCAAAATACGTATTTCTGTTTTTGGAAATGATAAGGACACCTTCATCAGCTTTGAAGCTAACATTTAGACTCAGAAGAATTTACACTAAAGCCATTTTCCTTTCCCTGAGTAATGTTAGAAAAAAGTTAAATAATTTTAAGTAATTAGGTAACAGATTATTTCTTTTCAAATATTTTTCAGGATTATATCTTTGCGGCTGAAACAATAATCTACTTTGCTAAATGCTTCTTCAGTAAAAACAATACCAATTCTCAATCTTCACTAGAGGTTCAATACTTAATACACTTAAAATAAATACAAGAATAAAAAGCTAAAAAAAAAAAATTACCATAAAATAAAATATTAATAAATACTCTGTGAAGCCAGTATACAAATAATATTCCGTTATTTAATTCATTCTTATGCAAATATTTTATATAATAGACAGGTTAAATTTTGGTAAAATTAATTAAAAAAAGTTAAATATATTAAAAACGTATATACTCACATGTGTTTGTCTGCCTAGGTATCCTATCTAAGCTTTCAGCATACAAATCATTAAACACCACCAGGGGAGCACAGATATTATCATAATAGCTACCTCTTTTATCACAAAAGTTCTCATACTCTTGATTAGTATTATAATCTGGATGTAACAAATTTCCCTTTTGCAATGCACCAAGTTTCAGGCTGCCTGAATGCCTTGCCTCTTTTTTATCCGGATTTAAAGGTAAGTTATCTGGTGTAGATGTTATCGTCACAGACGCCTGGGGTGTAATATATTGCTTAACGGGTTTAGTATCATTGCTATTTGCATCTTTCCATCTTTCAGATATAAGAAACATGTGGCATTCAGAGTCACTGTGTGCACTCGTATTCTCAGTTCCCTTAGGAAGATTTACCCCTCCGACTTTCTTTGCACTTTGTTGTGAGCTCAAACACGTACCATCTGTAGGCTTCTGCGACCTTAGAAATTGAGGGGAAGAAGTTAAACTGCTTGATGAGCTTCCATCAGTTCCACAATGAACTGCAGTAACATTTTCCATTTTATTGGTATCGAGTATTTTCTTCTTTCGTTTTCCTTTCAAACTTTCCATTCGTCTCAGTAAAGCTTTAGCACCTTCTTTGACTCTGTCACTGCCACTTCTCCGCAAACTTCGGCGTTCTGGTACATCATCAGAAGCTAAACTGAGAGTGCCACCAGAGCCTGAACTTGAACCCGGACTACAGTCACCAATATGTCCTGAAGGTGACATAGATATCCTTTCAGGTTTAAGTAAACTAGATCTTCTTATGCTGTCTGGACTACTATGCTGTTCATCAATAAAAACACTATCATGACTACTACAATACGCCTCTTCTGGACTAAGATATTTTCTGCCGGGTGCAGGTAACAAATGACCAGATAATTTAGTTGTTGGTTCGCTCGGTGGATCATTAGGTACGTAATCTGTTATTCCATCAGATGGTGAAGGTATTCGAGACCATCGCCGACTAGAACGCTGAAATTCCCAGTTTTCACTTAAAGCGTACTGTTCTTCTTCATCACTTTCATCAACACGTAACTGTGAAAAAGGGGGAAAAAAGAGCTAAATTAGCAGCAAAATAAAACACCAGAATAATATTACAACAAAATACGCAGTCTTCTTAACTAAAATTAATTAGCACAAAAATTATTAGTATTTATAAAACAACAAATAAGTTGCGTTTGATAGTAACAAGCCAGTTATAGAAGATCACATTGTTATGAAAAAGTATATTAAATGGAAGTATTTCACGCAGGACTGAAACAGAAATATTATCTTGCATTCTTTTCACTTCCATGCAAGATAAAATAAATCATTTTAGTGAAATCCTGAAAACTTATTATGGCATTTAAAGACAGGTTCAAATAAATATGATGTTAAGTAAAAGGCTGCATTTTTAAAACTATAAAAGATAATCAAATTAAACCAGTTTTAATTAATTAAGAAATAGATTAACTTTAATATATAAAGATTTTCAAAATTGCCAGCCCATTGCAATATATGAAAGCAGCCAGAAATTCAAAATATATAAGAAAATTACGAGAATAAACTCACCGATTTGCGAGGTACGTGATCCACGAATTTCATTTTAGCACACCTGTTCAGGGTATTCAGCCTCCTAAGAAAACACACGAGGTTGTAAAATAGGGATGTTAGGAATGTAAAGGGACACAATTTTCGTGCCCAAATTATTAATCAAGAAGTAAATTAAATCAAGGAATTTATCAAGAAGTAAACAAAATGTTTCATGAAATTTGATGTGGGAAAATATATATTTTTACACCTGATCAATATAAAATAAAAAATACGGCTACTTATTGATCACGTATAATGCTCATGAAACCATGGACAGTCCTGAATTCAGCCAAGAAATACTGCATTTTTAGATCCAGAAGAAAGTATGATCAATTTCCAAGCAGTAAGGTCATTCCCTTAATCCTAGGAATATTCTGAAGGAATCCTTACATTGTTTACAACAGTGTTAAGAAATATGTAAGGAAAAGGTTCCATTCTGTCAACAAAGACATTTCTTAATCCTCGCAAGGTTCTCGAAGAGATCATGGGTTTTGCAACCATCTTCTTAAAGCTTCCTATAGACACATTCTGGGAACTCAGCTTTCGATATCTGTCGACTACTTCCATCTTATGAATAACCTAACTTCTCATGGACCATCTACGTACACTATCATTACTGTATATAAAAGCTAACAGAATGCCGAAAAGTTTCCTAACAAGGCTTTACATAAGGCTCTAATCTCAACGTTGTGGGAATCAAGAAACTTTAAGGGAAATGAGTACTAGGAGATTCCGGATGTCTGCTATGTCCAGATGACAACTCGCTAAAATCAGATCTGGCTCGTCACTGCACAGCACACAAGCTTACCATCATTTCAAAAGGACGCTTTTCTTGTGGAGCGAACTGCAACTGATTAGGTTTCTTGGATTAAGACCTCTCTCGCTGCATTTTCCATACTGAGATAAGAATTTCAGAGGTAGTTGTCTGACTGTCGATTTCATACTATGAAGAAAAGTTAAATGTAAACAGAGTTCCTTTCTATTTATATTATTCTCACTGGAGTTCTTGTCCTTACGTTTTAGTTATTGCTGGAGTTTACTGCAACTGTTCAAACAGAACTGTGCAAATTCGCTCAGAAACATTTAGATATTTCAGTTCGAAACTGCTCAGTTTCGGTGCTCCTAAATGTTTTTGAATTTATAAAATTAATAAGCCATCATTTGAATCAAGAAATCCTTTGAGGCAGTGAAACAGCTATAAAGCTTTTCTACAGCTCATTTGTATATTTTACATATTATTGGCATTAACAACTAAATATTTAAAATCCGAGTCCTTGAAATTGGGAACACAAAAAATCATTATTAATTCTTGTACTGATATGATGCCAAAAGCAAACTAGTCATAAAATGTTTTTCAGAATAGATAAAGTTATGCTGTTTCTATAATAAACTACAAACGCATTTTAATCTTACCTGAATAAGGACTGAATCGAATCAGGATGAAGAAAAGCATGATCTTTCTGTACAATGGATATATCAATAGGAAACTGGTTATCTAAAATAATAATAATAGTAAAGTTTAATTATATTATAGTATTTAGAGAAACATTTGTAAATCAGGAAATAATATGAAGCGATTTTGATTACAGTTGTGGTTAATTAATCGCTGCAGACATGAGTGTTCTATCTGCCTAAAAATTGGGATGCCATTTTGAACGACTTTCAAAGGATAACTAGCTCGTGATTTCCTAACACTTGGGACGACCAGACTGTTTTATTCGCTATTTTTAAACTAAATACACTGTTAAACACTTTTCCTCCTCAACTTAAATTAGATGGTCTTTCGTTTTAAAAGATTCCAATAAGCTCAGCATTTTAAATTATTATAACATAGCTAGAAACTGGAATGCTAAATCAGGAACGTTCCAAGAAAGGATAAAAACAATACAGCTAAGAAGCAGAAAACATACATAATTCTCAATATACATACTGGATGCGATGCGAAGCTGCAACAAGCACATACTTGCATGCACGCACACAATGCTGCGCATGTTTACATTACATTACAGACCATTATGATTATACGAGGAAGTTTCAGTAGCTTATTAGGCTGGAATAAACGTTCATTTGCGACCAGGATATCAAAATTACAAGTCCGAATGAAATATATCGAAAATGAAATGCAAGAAAACGTGTGCGTGTCTGTGATTACTCTTAGAAGCGGAAAGAAATTATGATGAAAATGACACGAAAGCTCGGAAATCATATATTTTGCGAACGACATTTTGTTTCAACTAAGCCGGTCCCCCCATAAAAAAAACTGCCATTAACGCATCATCAGCAATTAAGAAATTCGTACTTTATTAATCTACTGCTCTGTCCGCATAAGATAAAATAAACGTAGTGTTGTAAGATTTGTTTTGTAATCTTTAAGGGAACTTAAGATCACATCTAGTAATATAAGACCAGATATTGAGATACAGATATCACTAAAGATTCTCTGTTACTAACCAAATTTTTATCAAAAAACTTTGATGAAAAATTATTCATTTATTTAATTCTTTCTATTGAAACGGCTGTTAAAATCAAAGGCTAAAAACGTCATTATAACAGGTTGATAATGAAATTCATTCTTAATGATATAAAGCACACGTATTTAAATATGTGCATGGAAAAAAAAGAAACATACCTTCGTACATCTGAGCATATTGAGGGAATCCAGCAGCACGCAGCCAAGTGCACGCTTCAATAGCTTGGAGTTCTGCAATAAAGAAAAAATATCATTACAAATGCAATTCAATACACACTGTTATTGGCAGCGTAATGAAAAAAGTCTCAAGAGCGGTTTGGGGGGAGCACCAACGGGCAAGCGGTAAAACAGCTGATCATGGGTAGTTCGACCTGGGTTTCAAACTCAGTGAATAGGCTGGCTACATGGGCTGTTTCGTAGTTTTCCCTATATGTACGTGGGTATGACTCCCTTCCGTAAAATTCTCTGTATGCCACCCATGAAGGCAGCCTGTATTGTGTTTTGTTAACATAAATATAAAGCCAATGTCTTTTATGCGCTCGAACGAATAGGCAATAGTCTTCTACATGCTCGCAATGTCGAAACGCAGTGTATATTACAGAGGGGAAGAAAGATATATCGTTAATTAACAAATAGTATTGCTATAGAATTTTGTGTCAAATTTACAGAAAAATGGTTAGAAAACGCCAGAGATGATAAAAACAACATATAGTGAAAAAGAAATAGACATATTAAAGTAGTGGAAGTATATAAGGAGGTAAACACAGTTGGTAAGTTGAGCTGAAAACTGGGAGCTCATCATCTCTGAACAAATGGAACGCAGAGCAATTGGAGACATTGTTGGAAAGAGACAGACGTTTATAGTTTTCTGATATATCATTTAAACTGAATATAGGATATGAAGATAACACAAAAATATTCAGAAACACCTGAAAATGTCTCATGACTGTACAACATGGATAACATGCTCATTAAACTGAAAACAAGATCCATCGCATTGATGTTACCAGGCACTTGTTCGACAAGTGAGAAAAGATCCCCGAGTTCTTCAGCATAATAATTATCAAAGACGTATCCAAGATCAGACATTATGATCCAAATCAAAACTCCAATCGAGCATAAGAAAACACAACAATTCACTCTCTCTCCAGAAATTCCGGGTTTCTCGTTTCTCAAAAATGTAAATGTTTATTTTATTTCTTGTATTTTAATATTCGCGGAATAATACTATAGCACTATTTTCCATGGACACAAACTTTAAATGAATTATTTTGATAATGTTCGGCAAGTTCGCTTAAAAGAAGCAATTTAAAAAAAAATGACCTGAAGAGGCTCTTCGAAACAATCCTCCATACAGACCAGATCTCGCAAGCTGTGATATTTGGATTTTTCCAGGCCCCTAAGAACATGTTAACAGGAAGGAAGCTTAGTGCAGGTCAGGAGGAGAAAGCTGCCACATCCAATACCTTACAAGGACACTCAGAAAACAGTCAGAAACAAGTGTCTGAAAAAATAGTGGGTCGATGGCAGAGGTGAACAGCATGTGAAAGCTGCTATTTTGAAAAGGAAAACACACTTAACTCTTGATGACTCGGATTTTGAATAGTAATTTCTGTCCATGAAATTTCATGACAGCTTCCGTATTTTTCAACATGTTTCGAAAATAAAGGCGAATAATTTAGATATAATTATTAACAGGTTAGTAATAATATATTCATCGCCCAGCATTAAGTTATATTTATGTAAGCCTTTCTTAGACCAAAATCTGAAAAACTATTATACAAACATGGCTCCGTTTTCTGGGGTGGAAGCTATCATGTCGCAAAGGTAAATCGAATTCTCAAGAGAAAAAGAAAAGCGTACCTTATTTCTAAACAATTATTTTTATTAAAAATATATTAATCCCCTTTCTTGCTCACCTGTAAGATCTGTCCCCCCCCCAAAAAAAAGCAGTAAAATCCATCAAAAGAAAACCTGAAAGGGGACTGCTTCATAAAGTTGTTTATTTAATTATGTCAAAGCACTCGAGGGCTATCTGCCTAAGCGGAGGGATGCCTTCGTGGAGGTCCTTCTAGGCTCGTATACATATTACACATGGGAACACCATGAAAACAACCATGCAGCCAGCCCGTTCGCCTGGATTCGAAACCCGGACCGATCTACCAGTGCTCGGCGACATTACCGCAGGTCGGCCTTGCTTCATAAAGGTGCCGCATCATAAGGGGGCTATCACGTTTATGTAAGCGGGCAGCTGTTCGAAAAGGCAGAAATCTGCATAAATGCGCCTCGGCATAAAAGTGCGCCCACCAATCATGAAGATCAGTCTCTAACTTGAAAACAGCAACTCGGTAACCGTCTGTTGGAACTTTTCATAGGATAGAGGGCGCTGTTGCGCCAAAGGAATTCTGTTTTTCTTTACATTATGTAACAGTAGTTCGCCATTGCGATGTATGTGTATTGCTGTGATATATTTTGGTGCTTTCATTAAATATAAATGAAAGATATCGTCATGAATTTTTTGTATCCAAATCAAGATCAAATTTACCACTGATGCATATTCGTCGAAACAAACAAAATTAGCGTTCGAAACAAGAATCGTCAAGTTATTACTAGCCTTTCGAACTACGCATTAGTATCGTTATTCGCTTCGTAACATGTGGTGCATCGGCCGGGAATTATCGTAATGGTGGGGTGAGTAAATAGTTTTGTTGAAAATTTGGTTGAATAGAATATTTTGTAATTGTTGGAAGTAGTAGGGTTGTTTGATGTTGTTGATTTTGTTTGGTAAAAATTTACAACTTTAGGTTTCGCATTTACTGAATATTTGCATTGGTATTTGAAAATAAGAAAATGTTGTGCTTTCTTAGAATTAGAATTTGTTGTTAATGCTTGAAGTGTGATTTGTTGTTGAAAATTACAGTTTGTTTTCTTAGAATTCTAGAATTAGAATTTATTGTTAAAGTATTTGAGGGGTAAAATTTGTTGCTAGAAACTGTGAAAATGGCTAAATTGTTAAAGCTTCGAACTAAGCGTGACACACATCGTGAACAAACTTTAAAGTTAGTAGAAAAAATAAACATATATTTGAATGAATCAGATATTGATATAGATGTATGTGATTCATATTTAGAACAGTTGAATAGTAAAATTGAAATTATTAACATACTAAATAGTGACATTGATGAATTGTTGAAAGAAGAACAAGAAATTAAGGATGAAATTAACACAGTAGATGAATATAACGAAAAAATAATACCTGTAAAAGTAAAGTTGCAAAACAAAATTAAATCAATTGGAAAAGTTCCATATCAGTCAGGTGAACAAACAGTAAATCCAGAAAATGTTCACGTAGAAAATAAAACTTTAGGAAACAGAACTAAACTTCCTAAACTTTCGCTTCCTCGATTCTATGGTGAGCCTTCAGAATATTTAGATTTTTGGAATCAGTTTGAGAATTCTGTGCATAATAATTCTAATTTAACTGAGGTTGACAAATTTTGCTATTTAAAGTCGTTATTAGGTGGTAAAGCCCTAGCTAGCATCAAAGGATTCTCAATTACTCCAGAGAATTATAAACAGGCTGTTAAATTAATTTCTGAAACATTTGGCCAAAGAGACATTTTAATAAATGCTCACTTGTCAAATTTATTAAATCTGGCACCTGTAAAAATGCTTCTAACATTCAGGCCCTTCGTAACCTTTATTTTGAAGCCCAAACTCAAATTAGATGTTTAGAGGAATTAAATGTCAAATCGGAAACATACACAACAAATCTGCCAGGAGAATTGACTCTTGAATTTTCGAAGCAAAATATAAATAATTGTCATGATTTACAGGAATTGATGAAGTTTTTACACAATGCTATTAGTGCAAGAGAAAAAGGCATTCCGTATTAATTCTAATAATGTATCTTCATATAATAATTTTCATTCTAACCAACACAAACAAAACAATTTTCGAAATCAGAAACGAAACTTTCCCATCCGAGTCGCAATAATCAACACGCGTCAGTAACAGAATTTATGGCGAAAACTTCCCGAAGTTTGTTTATTCTGCGGTCAAGGTCACTGTAAGACTGAATGTGAAAACATGACTGTACAGCAAAAAAGGGATAAATTAATTAAGGAAAGGAGATGTCTGTTATGTTGTAACACAAACTGTTTTGTGAAAAAAATGTAATGCTAAACAGTGTTCATTCTGCTTTGGTAGACACGCCAAAGCTATTTGTTTTAAATTTGAAAATTCTAGCAAGTGTAAATCTAATTCAAAACCGGAAGAAGAAAAACCAAAGGAAATGGAAATTCAGCCTACTATTTCGAATTCAGTTGTAAATGATAGGAATGTGATTTTATTGCAGTGTGTTAGGACAGAAATTGTTGGTCGTAAATCGTCAGGTACAGTTATTGCAATGTTTGATAACGGTAGTGAGAAGAGTTTTATTAAAAGAAATGTATCTATGAAGTTGGGATTAAAATGTCTAGGGTCAGAAACATTAAAGATTTATTCATTTGGAGCAAAGGATCCTAGGTTGCAAACATGTCGCAGAGTTGAAGTGAGATTGCGAAATATTTTAGATGGAAATGAAGTCGTAATACAGGCGTTGGAAACAGATGAAATTTCGAGGGCGGCGATTAATTTGCCGAATGAGCGTACAAGAGCTGAAATGGAAGCCAAGGGATTAACTTTAACGTGGGGTTATAATCAAGCGTCAGATGATAATGAAATTTCCTTGTTAATAGGTATAGATTTTTATTGGAAGTTGACAAAAGGTTTTGAAAGGTTAAATACGTCTTTGGTAGCTGTAAACACAGAACTTGGATGGTCCTTGCAGGGAAATTGTGGTGATATGAGTAAAACGGCTGCTGTGAACTTAGTTTTAGGTGATCAAAGCACTGTATCAGCTGAACTCAGGCGTTTCTGGGAACTGGAAAGTTTAGGTATTGAAAACAAGGAAGCGGAGTGTTTGACTTTAGTGGAACAGGAGATACTTGATGAATTTAATAATTCTGTTGGGTTCGTAGATGGAAGGATATTGTGTAAAGTTGCCGTGGAAACCAGGTATGCAGGAGAAATTAGCAAATAATAGAGAAGTGGCTCGGAAACGTTTCGATGGTCTGGTTAGGAGATTTAGAAATGATACAGCTTTTTATGAGGATTACAAAAAGGTAATTGATGATTATCGTAGGGAAGGTATCATTGAGAATTCGTCGTCAGATACTGAAGTGTCATAT